CTCCAGTCATCCGGGGCGAGAAAATCCCCGCGTAAGTCGGAGACTGCCTGTATTTGTCCTGTCACTTCATACTCTCCTCTCCCCAGGAGAAAGGTTTCCTTACATTCAGCTCTGCTTCTGTGGTTTCCACCTTAAATGGATGAACAGTTGTATCTTCTTCAGAGTCAGGTTTCTGCCCTTTCCCCCACCAACCCTCTTCAATGGGTAACGTCTCCTCCTTCCTTCTGGAAAGGAACAGATAGACGATGGTCCCCAAGGCCAGTGTTAGGAATATTTCAAGAAACATAATGACTGCAAGAGAAAAGCACAATCCAGTTGTTAACTTACTGGAGACATATCACCTACACTTTTAAAAAAAATGGAAGTAATTTAGGAATTAATGTAAGTAGCTAGAAGCCCATCTATGCTGGGGCCCAACCATATTATAACATGGTAGATAAAGTAATCTGATAATGTTGCCAAGGTAACTAATGGTCACTACAGACCTCTGCTCCCAGCCTCTCCTTGAGAATACATAGAATACATATATTAAAGCTTCAAATCCTCACACAGACCCATTATTATTATTAATTAGTAGTAGGAGTATTAATTACTATTACTTATTTTAGCATAATAAACTAGTGAAGAACACTGAAGCAGACAATCTTGTCCTTGAATGCTTCTGGGAGAAAAGATATTCTACATTTACTCTCCTCCCACCAGACGTCAAACAGTGTAAAAAGTAGACTGAGGTTGAAATGTTCAGAAGGCCTTCCTCCCCCCTTTGCTTTCTTGTGGACTCTCCAAAAGAAAAAAAATACATAGACTTTAAGATCCAAAATACTTCCCCAAGTAATGATTTTTTGCCAAAACAAAACCATCTTGGTTTCACCCATTCTTAATTCCAAATTTCTGGGTTCAGGCTGGTTGTACTTTATAAAGAGCATTAGATATAACAATACTTAAAATATTAAACATCTTTGGAACATCTTTAAACTGTTTTACGATTCAAGTGAAAAAAATACCCCAAACCAACTGCTCTCTAATACTAATATTGTTTCTGAGCAACCTTTTAAACACAATAAATATGTGTGCACTGGATTGGTTATTGTTGGCTTTTTTTCTAAAGCATGTCATATTTGGAAGACCCATCATGCTTGAGAGATTGCTAAAATATTAATTATTTCAAAACTCTTCTGTATGGAAGACATTGTTTATAACACACATTATTCCATACTCTCACCAGTGCTGGAAGGGGTTTTTGTCGAAGTTGTTGCTTTTGTTGCACAGAATAATTTGATGCTCTGAAATTGCTCAAGGGGATAAATAAAATATTTACTTGAAAATGCTGGGCCACATTCATCCCTGAAGCTCAACAAGAACTGTAGCATCTAAGTTAATGGAGTTCACCCAGTTACTTGAGGGCTAAAATTGACTGATGCCATTTAGAACCTTTGTGAGGCTAGAGACATTGTTAAACTTCTGGGGTCAATTTTCCAAAGGCTGGCATATAAATTGTGCTGGCATAATTATCATCCATAAAAACAGCACTTGGAGACAAATCAGATACTTATGTGCATACATTCACAGGTTTTAAGGATGCACTGCACATGCACATGCAAATGTTCCAACTTTTAAAATAATTCCTCAGAAATTCAGTCTAGAAAATGGGAATTAAAGGCTAATTAATGACTGACAGCTGAAAAGTTTCAGTCAAAATGTCATAAATACCTCTCTATCCTTAGAGGAACTAATAATTTATTTTAGCCACACTCTTCAGAGCTCTCTAATCCAGGTTCTCCCTAACCTAGCACACAAATCCTAGAATACAGTACAAGAAAAAAAAAGAAAGTTTGCCAGTTTCAGCTTTTCAGACTGGAAGTGTTTCTCCATAAAAATTAGCCAATTCAACACAATTTACTAGCAGGCACCTTAGGAGTAATACAGCAGTGGTACTATATATCAGAATTGAAGGGATATTTAAAAATTGTGAAGAACTTGACAGAGGCATGTAAATATCATCACTGTTTAATAGATGGTGAAACTGAGGCACATAAAAATGAAGTGACTTAGCCCAGGTCATACCACAACTGAGATATGGGTTCCATTCTGAACTGTCCAGGAATCTGTTACGGTCCCATCACAATAGTAACCAAGTGCCTCACAAAAGTTTCAAAACAAAATATCTCCCTCTCCTCTCCCATCCCCACTTGTGGAACTAAAAACCTTGAATGGATTTTTTTCAATTGTGTGGGTGTATTCTGTGTCTGTGCAAGAGCACATGAAAAATGTGCTACTGAGTCGTCAACTCAAAAATATTCGTTCTGCAATTCATTTCAAATTCCCTGAGGTAAAAGGTTATTCTGATATCCTCTGGTAGTGAGCTCCTTGAAGCACATTCATCACCTTTGAAAGTTCTGTCCACTGCACAGGTCTTCCCCTACTGATCAAAAGGGTCATGGTGTCAGTTAAAAGTAGCTGCCATGAGAGGTACCGGTTATAAAGGGAGAGGAAATCTCTCTGGTAGCAAAGGCCACCTCAATGGAGGGGTTTGCATAACAGGACACAGGCTTTGTGTTGCTCTCTGTATTCAGTATCCACCTCTCAGTCCCCTTGAAAGTGCATATAAAACTCTCAGTCACTGTTGAACACAGAGGGGAGGCCCAGGCCCCTAGCTGTGCCCACATTTTGCTTAACTGTTGCACCCAAGGAGAGGAAGATATGGTACAGTGACACACAGCAGTTCTAAGCTGCACTAGGTTGTAATGGCCTCCAAAAAAAAAAGTCCAGCCTACTCTTCCTGCCACCTCAAGATCCCTGGGCTGCGTGGTAGAACCAGAAGGAGATGGTATTGACTGATACCAGAAGGAGATGGTATTAACTAGCTTTACAATATTTACAGAATCCCCAGTTTGCTATTTAGGCCAGTTCTTTATAAAGTTGCTTTGTGCTACTGAAGCAGGGCAAAGCATTCTCTATGAAGCTGAGAATCTGGCACAAAACCTTTTCCTCTATCAACTAACAGGTCCAGCCCACAACGTTTTGACACCTGACACGGGAAGCTCAAATGATGCCTCCATGCTCCCTCACTTGGGCCAAAATTTTGAAAGGTCTCAATTCTACCTTCTTCCTGTTCTACTCGTCTCATGGCACTCCACCATCTCTGTGCATCTAGAGCAGAGAGAATACATATGCACCAGCAGCAGACACAATTTTCTACACTCTGGGTCCTAGTGGTGCCCCCCCCCCCAGTCTGGCACCTGAGGCGGCCTTGGTTCACCTCAGGGTAAGGCCAGCCCTGTCAACTAGACAGTGCTGTCTCCAGAGATGAAAGTTAAAAGTCCTTTACACTTGTGCCAGTTTTCTGTTGGTAAGGGAAGGATTCATTGCAACTATTTTTTCTTTAACTTTTCTAATTCTATATCACTGTACTTGCATTTTTCAGAGATGTTAACAATACACTTTTAGCGTTTATACTCTCTAAGGTCTCTTGATGTAGTATTGTTGGCATGTTGCCTTTGAGATTACAACTTCAAAGCAAGTTAACATTATTTTTTATAGTGGCTCAATGCCAGATTTTAGAAAGAGATCTTTCCATTCATCCCACAGTAATGTATTTACAGTCTGGAAATCAACTATTCTCCAGAAAGATTAATCCTTATAGGAATTACTGAAGTAAATACCCAGATGATACCTTCTTCTGAGCAGTCTAGAAAACAATATGTTTTTATTTAACGCCTTTCAAAAGTACATTTTAAGACATATTCTTAACAGCTAAACAGCTAAAGATTTAGTACATTTTTTTCTTTTTAATTTGTATAAAAATTAAACTCATCCATTTGAAAATGGATATTCTTTGCTTAAAAATAGCATTTAAGAAAAACATGTCCTTACAATACTTTTCCATACAAGCAGCTCATCCTTAGTTCCACAGTTTAACTGTGCTTTTTTTTTTTTTTTGCTGCCGGAGGGGGGGGGGCAGAGTATTTCCTTGTAATAGTTTTAAGTTTGTTATCTCCAATTTCATTGGATGAATTCTTGTTCATATTTGTGTTTACGGTTTATGAAATATTTGCAGATGCTTCACAAGATTAAGTCACAGTAAAAAACACTATTTTTAAAAATATTCATACAAGTGTTTTTTAACACTAAGCTTTGTAAAACTTTCAATAAAACAAATTCAGCATGTACATAGATCAAAGAAAGTTAAAGCATTGCACTGAGAGGATCCATTTTCAATTCAGAGAATTACTCAACAGCACTCAACTTGTGTTTATTGCAGTAGTACTTATGGGCCAATCAAGAACAGAGCTCCATTGTCCTAGCTACTGTTCTTATACATAGAATAAGTGACAGTCCTTGCCCTAAAGCAGCGTTTCTCAAGCAACTTACAGGGGGGTTGCAGCTGGATCCGTTTTTTTTCTTGCATTTGTGTCTCCCCGGCATCTCCAGACAGTCCGGTCAATTTTCCCCTGTTGCGTCTGGTGTGGGCGAGGGAGTGAGGAGCACCGCAGAGTCTAGTGAAGGGGGGACAGAAGGAAGCAGTTGCCGGGCGCCACACTAGGCGGGTGCTGGGCTGGGTGGAAGCCGAGTGCATGCGCTGCTCTGGCCCACCTGACCAGCAGAGACCAGCAGCTGGCTACGTGATGCTTCCCCTGCAAGCTGCCAGCTGAGGCAGATTCTTCTTCAGTGCCTGGCTCTGTGGGGGAAGGAGGGGGAGAGGAGTGGGGAGATTTGATTGGAGCGGGGCTCCAGATGCTGAGGATGCCTGCCTGGGGGGAGGGGAGAGTGCTAGGGGGGCCTGGGTCTGACATGGGCGGAATGCACTGGG